CATCAGCTTTTATTAAAGGAAAAAAAATTGTATAGGTCCTCTGGACGGGTTCTTCTTTAGGACCTATACAATTTTTTTTCCTTTGATTTTTTACCTGGATTACTGAGATGCATCAGGACATCAGCTTTTATTACTCCAATCTTTAGTCGTATATCGTAACTAGGCATTTTATTGCTGCTGTTTTTTTTCTCAGGGTGGTCCTTGTGATTTTTCTAGTTGTCAAAAACTGCTTTAGAATTAAAAAATTGTGACCGGTTTCAGCCTGGAATCATTAAAATCCTACATGTGGACAGAAGACGGTGCATGATTTTAAGCACTGTCTTTGATAAGAACTAAAATCTACAGTAAAGCTTGAAAAAAAAGTCAGTTTTTAGCATTTATGTCCCAATAGGACTCCAACTTCAAAAAAGGTTTTTAGAATTAACTTGGTAAAGCCTCTCTGAGAGTGTTGTGAATTAATATTTCAGCTCTGTACAGCTGACTTGTGAAGAATATAAATAAATTGGCAAAACGTGTAGCCGGTCTGTGGTTTTGCAGGCAGGTGGCCAACAAAAAGCACTGAGAGAAAAAAAGAAATACAAGAAAAGCCAGTTTAATGTGAGGTTCAGACACGGTAAAAGGTGAAGCGAAAGGCTTTCAATCATTCATTGACCATTTTAGTAACTATTTAACTGTATGTTAAGATCTTTTGTATAACACCTAAAACATCTGTTTGCTCTTTATGCCTTCATTTCTCCTAACATCTTGGACTTTTTTCTCCTTTTATATAGTGATTTAATTGATCCTGGGCTGAAACAGTTTGGTGTCAATAGTTTTCCCTATGAGAACAGATAAAAAACAGTTAACATCTGAAACCAAAAAAAAAAACATTACCTTTCCTTTTTATTTGTATGTATTCTGATATTTTTTTCTGTCAGATGTGAGAACTTAAATCTTTACATTGCCTGGCCAAAATAAAGTTGCCACCTGGATTTAACTGAGCAACCAGGTACAAGCCTCCTATTGGATATTTACTGCATAGATGATTATCTTTCAGCTGGCAACAAGTTATTTAACCTCAAATGATGCAATGATTTGCTTCTCATTTCTTGAACAACCATGTCAAAAGATGCATCCTTTGGTCGTGGAAAAGACATTAGTCTTTTTGAGAAGGGTCAAATCATTGGCCAAGGATGCTAGGATTGATTGGGCTCGAATTGTGAAAGAGTGGTTCAGGGAGCAATGAGATATCATTTTCACACGTGGACTGACCACCAAGTCCATTGAGAATCTTTGGGATGGTGCTGGAGAAAGTTTTGCACAGCTGTCAGACTCTACCATCATCAATGCAAAATCTTGGTGAAAAATTAATGCAACACTGGATGGAAATGAATCCTGTGACATTGCAGAAGCTTATCACAGAGAATGCATGCTGTAATCAAAGCTAAAGGCAGCCCAACAAAATATTAGAATGTGTGACCTTTGTCTTGTTTTAGTGGCAATTTTTGGGGGGCAGGTAGTGCACATTATCATGTTGAGTTTTGTTTTTGTATTAAAAACTCAAAACATAAAAAAAATCATCAAAAATGTTTTGTCTAATTCCAGGGCTGACCCACAGAAGCTGGATGCATTCATCATGGATAAAGCCCTGTTGGACTATGAAGTCTCCATAGATGCAGACTGTAAAACACTCACAGTTGGGAAACCCTTTGCAATAGAAGGTAAATACTAAAAGAATATAAAACTAAGGACAAAGGTATTGTGAACAGGGTTATTTGTGATTGATATTTGCCTTTGTCAGTTTATTAAAAAGATTTGCAACAATGCTTTCAAAAGTTTGATCAGATCCCAGACACYGAATAAAAGTGAGAAGTTGACAATAGTTTTCAGCTTTGTTTGAAATGTTTTTTGTGTCGCTCCATTGATAAAGCCACACATTCAGAAAATGGTTGAAATTTGTACACCTGCAGCTTTCTTCTGCTCAGTCCAGCCTAAAGCAGACCAGGAGCCCCATTTCTTCCAGCCATGGTTTCAGAAACAGACTGTCCACCCTTAGTCACAAATTTCAACCTTCAGTTTGYCCAAAGCACTTTATTTCTATTTCTCCACACAAACACTCATTCATGGGTCAAACCCTTGAGCGTACAACTACAAGATGATCACTGAGTCTGCTTCAATGTTTTCAGAAAAGGTCAAAACTGGAAGAGTTGCTGCCCAACTTGGGATAAAATGTTTTGTTCCRAGTCAGTGGAGCAGAGCAGAGAAATTCTCAGTCCATTTTCCACTTTCCCTCAGAGAGCAATTAAATGTGTTCTTATTTGAATAATTGTTTATTTGACCAATAATTGTTTAGAAATGAATGGATTTTAAATGTTGATGAAATCTGCAGATTAACTGGCTGTGATTTAGAGGACTGACTGAATGTTTTTGATCTAAACAGAGATGGCATCACGGTACTACTCACGTTCCGGTTCTTCTGTTGAATTCTAGGGGAGTTTTCTACATTATTTTAGGCTAACGGATCATGAGAGCCCTAAATTTATCAATATCAATCACTCAACATTTGCACAATAGTTAATCTTTTTGGCTTTCAAAAGCTTACATTCTCTGTTGTCCGCCAGTAATCTCTGGTCCATTTAGCAAGCCTCTTCCTCCCAGGGTGTAAAATGTTCCCGAGGCACTTGCTTCCATTACAGGCCACAGTAGCCCCAGATTCCTGTGCTGTTGTTAATTACTTAATGCACCCTTAAGCCTCCAGGATACAATACAAATCAATCAGTGCAGCCAGGGTACTTTTGCAATTGGCTATTGCAGAATTTGTCACACTTTCCGGGCAAGCTTTGACATCCAGAGATATACTGTTTTCAACCACCTGCTTTGTTTTTTGTATTTTTTTTTACAAAATGTATGTTTCTTACATGCAAAATTGTGTAAACAGCAGTGAATCTGCTCAGCAGCTTTTTCTCCTGTGGAAAACGAAAAGTAAACAAATCAAGTGAAATATGTATTTGCTGTTGTGATGAACAGCCACTAAAAAAGTGAACGCTGTCTGTGTGTTGCCACTGGCAGGTTATGGCATCGGCCTCCCTCAGAACTCTCCGCTCACCTCCAACTTCTCAGAGCTCGTTAGTCAGTACAAATCCGATGGCTTCATGGACATGCTGCATGACAAATGGTACAAGGTTGTGCCCTGCGGGAAGCGCAGCTTTGCTGTGACGGAGGTGAGTGTGACTGGTGGTGGGTTGACAGAGGGGATTGTAGTCCAGTTTATTTTTTAAATAATAAATAATATATTTTTGAGCTTTCAATAGGCTACTGAAGGTTTGGATTGTGGTGCAACTAGTTTACAAATTTCAAAATGCAATTCATGCCCTCCACAGATCTCATGAAAGGTAACTGCTCTGTTCTAATTGAAAACATGGCCTCTTACACAAATGCTGCAAAAGTTGTGTCCACACTGCTCTACCAAGCAATTTGAAATTGAATCCCATTTCCTAGTTCAACTTTTGTGGCACAAAGTTACAATATTCCACAGTGAAATGTGATGCTTCTTTGAAAATGTAAACATAAAATCTTATGTAGAAACGGTAATCAAGCCTGCAGTAAACTTCAGTTTATAATGCTGATTTTATGCTTGGTAAATAATGACAATAATACCAAAATTAAATGTATACTGAAATACAAGGTTGTGACATACTCTCCTTTTGTTATATCCATATTTTCATTTGTTAAAAATAACTGATAATGATAGCAGATAAAATGCATTAAAACTGATCCAGGTAACATTTTTGTTGGTGTCTGTGAAATTTGTTTTACGATCAAATAAAGAAAAAAAATGACATTTTTGGTTAGATTTACAAGCACAGCTCATACTTTTTTGTTTCAATTGTGCTCCAAAAAAACAAAATATAAAAGTACAGACAGTCTTTACAACCCCCGCCCCCAATATATAAAAAAAAATAAAATTCTTGGCAGCTTGACCATCTCTATAACCTAATTTTTAGACTTGGTAAAAACGCACACATATTTTAAAATTTTGTGTATATTTGTATTTAACTAATTGACTCCTGCAATGCCTTGACAGTTGGTTGATTTATGTTGATCAGAGGCACATCTAATTAACAAGCACCTACAGAGTGCCTGTGACTGGGAGCGTATTCTAAATTCTGAATGTAAATTATAAACTTGTGCATCCCATATCAGTAGCAGAAAGGGTACATAGTTATTCAGTCTTGAAAAAGTGAGCTATTTTCCAGCGTGTAGCGGCGAAATGTGCTGGAGATTATATCGACAGCAGCAGACATCTAAATTGCTCCAGGTACATTTCATTTTTCAGCATCACAACTCAGTCTGCCTAAAGTCAGAGCAAAGAGAGCTGCTCAAACTAAGACTTTCTCTTTATCGGTGTGCCATTGAATTTTGCATGCCGCTATTTCACACCGGTGCCTTACAGGAAACCCAAGGTGGGACAGAAGTCGATTTGAAACTGTAGATAAATGATGTAAGATGCTGAGCATTTATTATCAGAGTAAACACTGAGTTTAAACTATGGATGTCATGAAAGGCGGACACAAACAGAAAAATTTTCATAAATTACTCAAGTCTTGCTCAGTTTGTTTAAGTAAAAAAAAACTTATAGACCGTTTTAGAAAGCCAATCTCTTTCAAATGTGGCCAACTCACCTTTTGTGCTCCTATAGACATTACTCTAATTTGATGCAACAAAACCCATAATGCTAATAGCCATAACATTAAATTATACAACATCAATAAGGTCAAATTCAACATAAAGGAATAAAACAGGAAAAAAATAATCTCTTCCACTCTGTCTACCTTTCTATAGACGCTGCAGATGGGTATAAAGCATTTCTCTGGTCTGTTCGTGATGCTGTGTGTGGGCGTGGCCTTATCTCTCCTAACCACTATAGCGGAACATATTGTGTACAAGCTGGTGATCCCACGGGTCAAGGAGCCGCGCACCCATTACTGGCTGCACACCAGTCAGGTACTGACCAACACAAAAACACATCACATTACAAACGATCACATCACTTTTTCACTCATAGGATGGTTATGTTTCAGTTAACATGAGAGGTGTTGTCAAGGGAAAGTTGACAAGATTTATTGGAAATGAAGATTATTTGAATATCAACAAGATCTAGAGCCATTTGTTGTCCTCTGTTGTGAAGAATTTGTTATAACTACTACAAACATTTGAGTAAACTGTTTTCTAGTTTTTATATTGCTTAAAAAGATGGCCAGCAGGGTGGTCAAAGTGTAGTCAGTGGTGGCCAAGGCTACCGTCAGCCACCCACTAGCTCCGCCAATGCACCTGCCAGTGGATAAAAATGGGCTCTCCTCATCAGGACCAGTTGCATTGCCTCAGAAGAGCAAAACTATATTAATTTTGTTATTATTAATGGTGTAACTCCTACCCAACTTGAATGTTTTCACAAAAATCGTTAAACTTTACTTACATTCCCTGTTTAATTCCAGTCCAGAAAAACACCCGTCACAAAAACTGCAACCATTCTTTACTCAAAATCCCTCAGGGAGAGGACAACAGGGCACCGCTTGTTTAGAGAGAAACCAATCTTGCCTATGATTGGTTGTTGCTGCTCTTGCAAAACCCACAGCCTCTTTTAGACAAAAAAAATTCTAGCAAACACGTGACAGCTGATGTGTTGATTGTTTTCCAGAGATTACACCGAGCCCTCAACTCAGTCTTCAGTGATGACAAACTATCATCTGTAGCCAAGCTTGAAAAAAGGTAAGGTTTTTCTTTTTTAGATTGTTTGCTTGTTTATTTGTTTTTAGCACAGCTTTWGCAAAACAAACACTAGACCTTCACGCTAATTGGAATTTTTGTTTTTGCTGATTCGATTTGAGATAAATTCAGTGTTGAAATGACAGAACAGCATGTGAACTGAGCGCAGATGTGATATAATTATTATTTTATTCCTTCAGTACTTTTTGTTTTGACTTGGGACTTAAGCTCATTAAAAATGTTGTCAAGCATAAACTCATCAGAAATGGCTTTGCTCCTCTCTTCAGGCAGCTGCTGAATAAAGAAAAATGTTTTTTTCCTCTCAAAAAGACAACTAGACTTCCAGCTAACGACAGCTTATTTTCCTCACCACTTCAGATCTTTAAATATCACAACAAAACTACATTACAAACGTCATAAAAAGCTTAGCATATTGTTTTGATTCATGAAGGGAGTCATTGTGAACTCTGGAGTGCCATTATGAATGAAATGTAGTCCATATAATCTAACACTTATTCACAGTTCCAGAAGGAAGCCAATTTCCCAAACTTTAAATGCCCCATTGGCCAAATTATCTGGTTGAGAGTAAGTGACATCAATTAACATCCAAGTGGCAGTTAAGGGGCCCATTTTTCATCAGAAACTAAAGTGAATGGTCAGTCTGCTGGAAGGCAATTATCTGAGGAAGTTGAGGAAATAATTTCATGCTGAAGTCAAAGTATTGTTAGGAACAGTGAGACTGATTGTAAGTCATCAAATCCCAGTTTTTTTAGGCAAAAATCAGAGCGATGCCCACTTTTCAGATTAATAGTGTCATTGCTGATTAGCCATTTATACTATTTTTCCTGTTTTAGAATTTCTTCTGTAGGATTTTCAGCTTTTTTACTAATTGAAGTATCAAAACTTTCAGCTTATGCAGAACGAAGGTGTAATGATTTGTAGCTTGTTTGGTTTTATTTAAATGTTTGGCTTATTTTAGTTTTTGCGAGTATTTTGCTAATTTTAACTTAGCGTACTTTAATTCTGCGCTCATGGCCTCTTGTTACAGTTGCACTAATTTTAGCTTGTATTTGTGGTTTTTGTACATTTAACTTTTAGCTGCTGTGCCAGTATTAGCTTTTAGCTAATACAGTGCTAACTTCTTTTTTTTTCCTCCAGTGGTTTAACTTTTTTGTTTTTTAGTTTTTAGTCAAATTTAGCTAACTTTATCCTCAAATAACAGTTTGATTTGTTTTAGGTTATAGCTATTGTTTTTAGCTTTTAGCTACTAATATACTAATCTTAGTTTTTAGTTTTTGCCAAGTTTACTTTTAACTACAGTATTGCTCATTTTAATTTATGTTCTGTTAGTTTGACAGTTCAGCTATGGCTTCTTTCGCTAATGTATCTGAACACTTAGCATTCAAACTGCCTATTTGCAGACAATGACAATGTCACATCTGTCACATTCATCTTCAGATTATTTTTTTAAATGTTACGCAGCTTCCATTTTATTCTATTTTGTGTTAAAAGTTCATTGCTTGTTCAAAAAAAGTTCATTGCATCAGTTCACTGAGAGAACACTGAAACTGAAGAATTAAAATACATGTASTGATTATAGAGACAAGCCCAAGTGATTAATGCTTATAATAATGAGAATAGGCTGCCTAGCCTTGCATAGTTACACTCATTCAATCAAGCTCCTCTGCATCATGCCCTCATGCTGTCCAAGAGTCAGAAATTATTACTGTCTTATTGTCAGCTTCCTGCAGAAACTTGAAGCTGTGTCAAATGTCTGCTCTGTAAGCAATGCGCGGCAATTTAATGATCTTCAGTTTTCATGAACAATATTTATCACCTGCTGCCAAAAAGTAAAAGCAGATTAGGTTTTTACGCATTTGTGGACGGGTTTTTCCTACAACGTGGGGTATTTTTTACAAAAAAAAGCAGCCAGGTGGGGGCCAAAGTGAATCGTGGGGACCAATGTCAGGTCCCCACGGGTCCAAACGCATGTTGCAGGTGTAGGGTTAGGTTTAGGACCAAGGTTTAGGTTAGTTTCTGTGAGGTTAATTTTAGAGTATATGATCAGGGTTAGGCTATAAAGTCTAAAAACATGAATGGAAGTCAATGGAAGGTCCCCACGGGGTCGAGAAACAAACATGTGTGTGTGTGTGTGTGTGTGTATGTGTGTGTGTGTGTGTATGTGTTTGTTACCAAAATATATTATAAATCACTAGATGACTTTTTTAAACCTGCATAATATAAATGACTGTATAACTGCAACTGAAAAACGTTTAAACAAGTATGATTCAAAATAACTCATAACTGAATAAAAAAACACAAMAATGAATGAAACGTCAGTTTCATAGCTACTGACCCACATTTTAGTGTGTTGGCAACTAAGAGTCATTCACAACACATWCTCTGAGCATACTGCATGGGAATAATAATGTTATTATAACGGTTTGACCAAAATGACTATAAACTCAGTATCACAACTCAGTCTGCCTAGTCTAAATTCTGCATGGCTGACAGGAGGAGAGATAGACACTTCAAAGAATGCTAGGCCTTTAAATTAGTGTGTAAAAAATTCATTTTTGGACTACTATTACTTTTTTAACTTTTAATTTTTTATAAATGACTCAAGGAGCAATGTGGTAAAAATTTTACTGACTAGGAGCAAGACTTTGGATCAAACTGTAACACACCGTATAACATAACCCAACTTTCCCAAAATAAATAAAAAAATAAAAAAATGCCAAGGGCATCAAGAGAACTGTCTGTCAGAGATAATTGGCCACTGTCTGTAATAGCTTATAATGYTCTCAGATGGCCAATTAAAACTTTGTGGTTGATATCAAGCAGGAAAAGACACATCCAGGATGAAATGAAATTATAGGCACATGAAGTTGATCTATAACATCAATGTTGTATGGATCCTAAGGAACAAGCCAAAAGTAGAGCTCGTAGCAAAAAGACTAGTTAAAGAAAATAAAAATAAAGCTGAAAATTGGTCAAAAACCAGCTTTAACTAAAATAAATTGTAAAACTATTAACATTGTGAAGCAATTTGATTTTATTTTACTTTAGGAAATTAATACAGATGCAGATCTGCATGGCCTCCCACAAAGTATTTTCTGATTGTGTGTGTGTATACTTGTTTTTACTACAGAGTGAGGACCATTTGCTCCATAATTACTATCAGAGTGAGGTCTTCGATTTGAAGTGAGAACCTCTTCAATGTCCTCACTTTGTTTGCAGCTCTGCTGTGCTTTACCAGTTAGGTTTAGAGGTTTGGTGTGAGTTAAGTTCAGGTTGGGTTAGGGTTAGTTAACTACAGACCAGTAATGGTTAATTTTACTAGTTAGGTTTAGAGGTTTGGTGTGAGTTAAGTTCAGGTTGGGTTAGGGTTAGCTATTGACCAGAAATGGTTAATCTTAGGGAAAATATCCCTGTTAGGCATAAATACAGTTACAAAAACGAAAGTCAATCCAATGTCCTCAGTTTGATGCAATTAAATGATGTGTGTGTGCATGCGTGCGTGTGTCAGGGTGGGGGGTCTTTAAATGAAGTGCAAAAAACCAGCTTCTAAAAGCTTATGAAGTGAAAAATTAAGAGCAAACTATGACTAACTCTAAAATATCAAATTATAAAAGCCAGTCCCAAATTTTGTGTTTAAATTTAGATTTTTATCTACAGTTCATGCCGGTATAGCACAAATCATCTTTACAGTTCAGGAGCAACACGTAATTTAGAAAGTTACAACACACTGATTCCAGCACTTCTCAGCAAAGCCTATAAAGCTGCTGGTGGTTATCCTRGGTATAGCTGAAAGATCTGATAAAGTGTTTTCAATCTTAAAGGATTCTCTCGCTCTTGGCTGCTGTGCTATCAGCACAGGTGGGCTCCAGTGAAAAAGGTGGATATATCATTTTAAAATGATTTTTTTTTATGTTCTTATATTCAGATGCGTCATCCTTTCAGCTTTGATGTCAGGAGTATCTCATTAGAGTCTTCTTGTCACCTTTTTTTTTGCATAGCTGAAAAATACTTTTGATTTTGAGAGCCCTTCAGTTAAGCTTAAGCTCGAGTGTATTTGTCCGCATCGGTTTAAAAACTGAGTGAGCAAAACAAATTATTTGGATTCCTTCACAAGTTTCCTCACAAATAAGACAAATCCTTTAGGGAAATTTTAATTTTGCAAGGACATATATTTTAAAATCATCTCATGATGAGGGACGGAGTTGTAGCCAGTTTGGTCAAACCTTGAAAATGATGTAATGTTCAATATTGTGATATAGTAACATGTCACACTCAGAGTATATATTTACCCCAATATTTCTAAAACTGACTCAGCTGTAACCATATATGTGTTTGCTAATATTGATTAACTGGGGAAGCCATCTTGAATTGGATCTGTTTCAGATGCACGTGTAGTGATTCTGAATGTTTAAATACCTGTCTCATATTTTATGGGATATTTTGCTAACAGACAGATAAACACACACACCAGCAAAACCATCTCTGTATAGTGAGTGATACTGAAACAATTTTTCAAAAAAAATTATAACTAGTTTAAAAAAGTTAAAATCTACTTTGACTTTTCTATGTACCTTTTTTTTACTACGAAGATTCTCAAACAGGAGATAGAAAAAGTGTAAAGAGACTTAACCAATCAGATTATTTTAAAAAGTGTAACAGAGGAAGGTGTCAAGACCATGAAATGGAATATTTGTTAGCCAGCACTGGAGTAAAAAAGAAAAACAACTTTGTAGCTATTATGTTGTATTTCAGGCTGAATGGGTTCCTTAACCTATTGGTGGAATATTCAACATGATCCATTAAAAGGTTCAAGCAAGAATGGACTTTTCTCAAATAAATAAATAAAAAAAACTTTACTATCAGCTTCATGCATGTTCATTCAGATACTTTAGTTGCTGCACAGCATGCTATACATGCTATTGTAGATCCAGAGGAGGACACAGTACAGAAGTCCAAGGAGATTTTGTCATAATCTCGTTTGTCAAAGTACTTAATAAAGAATCCCAAAAAAAATTTAAAAAACTTTTTTTGCAATCCATAAATCATGATTTGTGAAGGATAAATGAACAGAAAAGAAAAGGGAACAAAAGCCATAACATGGACACTGATTAAGTATCGCTATCTTTAGTCATCGCTCCCTGGAGTAACATTACAGAATAAAAGGGAGAGAGAGGAATGGAAGTGGGATTTGTTAAGTAATGCATGCCTAAACTACAAATTGGTAGTATTATGTCAAACTAAAGCCTCAGTTTCCGTGTTTCATAGCTGAAGATGGACCTCCAGGTTAACTGGGATAGAGTGCTGGACTTTAGAGCTGCTGTAGGACTTTTATTTTGTTACATAACTGAATGATGTCAAGGCGTATTTAGGAAAATGTCCATTATATAAGCACTACACAGATTAAATTAAGATTTTAAATAATAATTTAACAAACTGTTACCATGAAGGAAAAAACTGCATAGTACTTTACTTTAGGAATATATTGGAACACTAGAAAGTCTAAGACTGAAAACACTGCACGCCAGATAGACAATGATTTATTTTTGTCTTTAAACAGCATTCCATTTCTGCCAGATTATAGTACACATAGAATAGTCACAATTTTCAATAGCTAATGCCTCCTATTTAAGCGAATTTTAGGGATAACTGTAAAGCTTGTTTGAAAAAAGCATTCACATTATATCCATATACATGCAAAATATAGTAACTGTTATCATACTGGCAAAGTTTATGTTGTTGTGCCTTTTATCAATCACTCAAAGGAGGGGAAAAAAGGCTAAGTTTGCTCAGAAAATAGCAAAACACCCAGGAACACAGAGAAAACATTGCTTTTCTTTGAATAGGATAACCTAGAGACAAAGTGAATAACATTTCAACAAATATTCATACTGGTATGCAAGAAAATAATGACCTCATTGTGTAGTACTTACCCAGGCATTTAAGACCATCATTTCGCTGTCTTTTTGAAGGTCTTATTCTGCATATCTTGCTGTTTCATCATAGGACAGACAGTAAAGTGTTTTCTAAGCAGCAGCAACTTGTAGTTTAAAGTGCACACCTTTGAAATAATCAGTTTCTGCAGAACTGTCAGGTGGTTGGATTTTGACTTGCATTTTAATCTTATATAAGATTCTAAATAGAACGATGCAGTCAGATAATACAGTGTTCTCCCACTTTGGCATTTAGTTTCTTCCTGACATTTTACTTTTATATTTGGCTTATCTCAGGTGCAACGAAGGAAACAACCAGTCAGCCTCCTGGAATCCTACAGAATCCTCTCATTGCAACCGGCGACGGTTTCTTCCACAAGACGTGCAGAATGACCTGGAACATCCGTCCTCCCAGGATCTTCCACCTCCACCGCCCCCTTCTCCACTCCCTCATCCCCATACTCTCCCACTGCTAGAAAAACACCTTCCCAAAGTGACTACCTCTAACGGCCGCTCCGACGTGTTAGGATGGGGGCTGGGACAAGGCCTGAAGCCAGGCCAGGGAGGGTCTGGGCAGGGTGTCACACAGTGCCGAGGTCTGGGAATGAGTGACTGTGGTTTGAGCCAGGTTGGCCAAAACCCGTTGGTCCAGGAATTGTCCGAACTCGAGGGCCAAATACTTGCAATTAAGCAGCAGTTGCAATCAGCCATGAGGAGGAAAAGAGAGCTCGAACAGTACCAATCAGAAAACCAGCAAACAAACCAGACTGCGTCCAATCAGCCCACAACACACCAGTCTAACCAGTTTGTTCCATATACCCAATCCCACCAGCAGACTAACCAACACACGAACACACTCCCAGACTTCTGAGGTTTGCCTCTTCCTGTTTTGTCGAGGACTCTTCTTAGACATGGCTTCAGAAGTTGGAACACAGATGAAACAAAGATCCTTTTTCAGACTCAGGAGTTTCCCATACCGTTGGACTGAACTGTTCACCGTGGATCAGGTCCTGCTCTGTGACTTCAATTAGGAGATCTTCTGACCTCTTGAATTTGAGACGTGATTGCAGTGAAAGTGCCAGATGAGCATGGACTAGAGATCTTGCCCCAGTTCTCTTCTAAAATCTTTACTAGCTTGTGCGAGTGAAGCGCTATGCTTCCCTTCCCTCGCCTCAACCTTAATTTAACTCTTTTCTGATGCCTTCTTTTTTTTAAGTTGACTTTATTTTTTCTGCTGACTACTTCCTTTTGTCCTTAGCTTTCTCCTGAGGTAAGCCTGATCTCTTCAGTGGTATGAATTTGCTTGCCGTTTTGATGAGCTTGATCTATGGTCTGACAAGTCTTTGGTGTTTAAGGTTAATGGACTTCACCTGTGTTTGGTGAGGCTCACGGTGTAAATGAGCTGTGGTTGAACCCAGCCAGGTTAGTCTATGTTCTTAAGTCTTGTTGAAACATTGTTCTTTTCAGACATACTGTACTGTTCAAAATTGGTTGGTGTTACCACTGATGATGTAAAGCTTTTACCCTTTGGTAGTGCATTAATTTTGGCTTTGGCTATTCTTTTTTAATTTTTTTAATACAAATATTTTGAATGGTAATTGGGCTGTTGTAGCAAGACACTAATGAAAAAGATGCCAATAAAAGCATTCACAAAGCACTACAGTAAATATGACAGATCTTGTGGTGAACCCTAGGACAAAAACACAACCTTACTTATGAGTCACTGTGTAATGTGCTGCACTTTACGGATGCACTGCTGGATTGTTTGACAGAAATCATTTAGCTTGTCAGAGTTTGAGTTATGGTCTACGGGTATTTCATTGTGTATTGAAAACAACAGACAAGCTGATGTTGTAAACAAAAAAATCTTATCTTGCTTGTATTGTTGTTAAGAAACACCGAAGTACCATTAACCTTTTGGTGAAAACCCAAAGGCAAATATGAAGAATGAACTCAAATTTCCAAGCAAAGACACAAAAGGGTTCTTCTGTGATGAGACCTCTTTTCTTGAAACTTTCCATTTTGGTTTGGAAATATTCTGTTTATTAAAAATGTATCTCACCTTTTGACTGAGTTGGATTTCCTCACCCCCACCCCCAGCCCACCCCCAAATCTTGTCAAAAGTGTTCAGACTGTCTTAAGAGGTTTGAGGGAATGAGTCAGAATGTCTACGATGAGCATAAACTATTCCACAGCCATATAGTGGATGTAAAAACAGAAAAGCCAAACCCAATTTGTCTCACTTCATTTCTAATTATTAAACATCAGTAACTATAACTGTAGAGTCAATTATCTGAAAAAAAAAATAAAACCTAAATGTCATTATTATGCAGTAACAAAGTGAAATAACTGCCAAATGACTGTTGAAAACCAAATGTTTTGAAGAAATTATCGGGGTTCATGTAGTACACTGATTTTAATTATACTACACATAGTATAGTTTTGGGCGGCACGGTGGCTCAGTTGGTAGAGCTGATGCCTCTCAGCAAGAAGGTCACTGGTTCAAGTCCCGGTCCGGGGACCTTTCTGGGTAGTTTGCATGTTCTCTCCATGCATGTGTGGGTTCTCTCCGGGTACTCCGGCTTCCTCCCACAGACCAAAAACATGACTGTTAGGTTAATTGATAACTCTAAATTGTCCCTAGGTGTGAGTGAGAGAGTGAATGGTTGTTTGTCTCGTTTGTCTCTATTGTGTGGCCCTGTGATGGACTTGCGACCTGTCCAGGGTGTACCCCGCCCCTCRCACTGTGACTGCTGGATATGGGCACCAGTGACCCACGCAACCCTGAAAAGGAAGAAGCGTGTACAGAAAATGGATGGATGGATGGATAGTATAGTTTGTTTTATGATAAGAACTGTAATGACTGTTAAATGTGATTTTTGATTAACTTGATTCTATATTAATAGTTTCATGCCTGGTAACAAACACAACACCTATTTGTACTTTTCAGTGTACTACATAAACCCCAATAATTTCTTCAGTTTGATTATGTTAAAGATTTAAAGGGTTTTCTCACTGATTTGTGCTACCACTATAGAACAATGACCAACATTCAGGGCACTTCCCTCAAATTGTGTTCAGGCTTCATCTTTTTGGATTTTACCTTTCCAAAATACCTATTAGCCTTTAGCTGCAGTGCCAATTTCTACACAACCTAATATGTTTAATTTCAACACACCCTGCAGCTATATTTCGTATTCAAACCACTCCGAACTTTGCTTCCGAGCCTGAAACAATATCTGGCTGCTTCGCTCGATTTTTCACTCACACTGCAGGGGAACAGCAATTTGAACAAGAACGCATATTCAGAATTGCCAACGATGTTTTCTGTACACATGGCGTGGTCAAAAAATTAAATAAAACCACTGCGCGCCTGCACACATACACACACGCTGCTATTATCTATTTAGCCAGTGTGTCTGCAGGGTAAGCACAGGCTGCCACAGCTGAAATGAATACCTGACAGAGCAAAAGAGAAAGTGCACTGGCTCAGCCGTCAGCTTCCTTTGTGTGCCTGTGTGTGTGTCCCTTGCTAAGCGGTAACACATCTCATTGAAGTCAGCGCCGTGGTAACAGGATGAATCAACAGAAAAACCTAAACAGGAAGGTGGTTTTAGTATATCCATGTGCATTACAGTCACATGTCTTGGGTGGCACGTGTCCTTTTTCCAGAGGTGCAGTGAGTGTAGCTGAGGACACGAACTTCAAGCGTGAGACAAGAATAAAGTCCTAATCTTGTTGATTATTTGAGAGTCTGCCTGAACAACTGCAAACTGGAAATATTTATTTATATAAAAAAATCAATGCAGCAAAAAAAAAAAAAAAGAAAAAGAAATCACTGGATATTCCAAATAACACAAAGACAGGCACATTTTTCTTGTATTCTATCAAGGCAACTGCAAACGCTGTCAAGAAGAACAGCACCAAGCCAGCAGCCAGGCATTTTCTACGGCAAGTAAAACATACAGTACAAAATGAAATCACAAGACAGCACTTTGTTGCTACTGACTATTTAATTTTTTTGACCAACAAAGAAAAAAATATATATATTTTAGCATTTCTGACAAAAAAGCTTATTTTGTTCTTAAATTAAAAGGACATAATCACAATGATCATGAGTAATATCTATAAAACATATCAACTTCTCTTTTCATGCTGGGCATAGCTTCCAGTAGGAAATGGAGTCACAACATTGCATCACAATCCACAGGTGGGTTGGGGAGAGGAAGGGGCGCCTCAAGGAGGAAAAGTGAATCAGGAGTCATTGGCCTGGTTGACATTGAAAACGCTAGCTCAGTCCCCAAGTTACCCACTCAGCTTATGCCTCTATTTATTCTACAAAATGAGAATGCCTTTTATTGAAATGGATTTGTAGGAGTAGTTCTCAAAATTATCGAGTGGAATCTGCAGATCTGACACTTGCTAGCCCCACAGGACTCCAGTGTAGAGATAATCAAAGTGAATCAGAAAATTGGGGTGAAAGACACTCATAGCAAGCATGTCAACCATTGATGATTTCAAATATTGGATCTAATAACAGGAAAAGACAAACCCTAGTTTCTGTCTCAGAAGTTGTCACTGACTCGATCTCGCATTTCCTCCAAAGGGGAGAAGAGTTCCTTCCCAAAACACCTAAACTGATACTAGAACATATTCAGGTTTACAGCAGGCAAACAGGTCCAAATGGATCATAATAGTCATACAGATTAACAAAAATCCTTAAAAAATAAGACCTCATAATGGTCGATTAATGTACAGAGATAATAATAAGAAAGTTTGTCTTTTTTTTTCCTGTACAAATGACAAACACCACAGAACAACAACATCAATATATATATATTTTTTTCCATTGCAGAGATTTTAAGTCTGAGTGGAATGAATGTGGTGATCAACGAGGCATTTCACCTGACAGGATGTGATGTAAAACAGTGAGTCAACCGACAGGAAGTGTGCAGGTTTAACATTGTCAGGAGAGGCGACGGCACTCGCTCATACAAAAATGTACAAAACACCATCCTCTAACTACAAACGGCACACCGTGGAGGACAAAAATGTGCCATGTCTTAAAGAAATTTCAAAAAACCTGGAAAAACAACCTGTGCTTACAGTAAGTTGGCTTTGTGATACGTTTGCATTGGTCTGATCTGTGCATCTTGGCTGGTTAAATAGAGAGTAGCCAAGCTAGATGAAAACCACAACGAACATGGAGTTTTCTGTCCCCCAGGTGATTTTTAACAGATAAATCAGAAGTGGGTTTTTATTTTTTGTAAGCATTCGGCATCACGTGGCATGCGTCCTCGTCATTGTGACTGGAMGTGCTGTGGAGACGCAAACGTGACCCGGTGCTGCCCCCTTAGTCATGTGACCTCCGTCATGGATGCCGAGTGGTTCTGAGAATAAATGTTTGAGGAGGAATGGACAAGGGAGTTTAGGAGTTTAGGATGAGTAGAGAGCAGAAAGATGATTGAAGGAAACAGAAGATGGAAAAGATGCAGAAATGAATAAAGAAATAAGAGGAACATTTTCAATAAGTGCAACAAGTGATCTGGTTAAGCAGTGCGAATATCATGCCTGACGTGTCAGTGCTTTGTGATGAAAGAAAGAAATTAAAGAAAGAACAAAAGGAAAGAAAGAAAGAAATGCATACAAAATATAGTTACAGCAAGTGACAAAATAAACCTGTACAATACGAGCGCTTTTGGAAGGAACTGTTTGGTTTGAAGTCTAAAGCTTGGGGGAGCTGCACCAATTAATGGCGAAAGATAAAAGACCTCAAGAGATTAAAGTTGTTGGGATTCCAGGTTAAGTGTTTTTAGCTACCTGTGCGCTGAGGGTCTCCAGTGGGCTTTCTACGCGGGGGAAAGTCATCAGAGGCAGACTGCGGTATTCTTCAGTCTTCTGTTTAGCTACCGCAGTATGAACACCTTTGAAGTTGTTCACAACACAAATGCCCTGTGAAGTATGGGAACAGTTTAATCCCAATTTAAAAAAATCACAACAATTAAAAACATTTTAAAAAGGCAACCTAAAAATTGTAAATCAGTGTAAAATGAATCTAACAGTCTGTAACTATTTAAACACACACATCAATATAGGTGTAAATATACAGGAGTTTTCATTCCACGGTAGCATCATCAATGCCAAAGTGATGTCATTAATTACCTTCACAGGAGTTTCAAAAATATCTTTATACGGTTTAATGATTTATGCCAAGTTACATATCAATCCACCCAGCAGCTGTTGAGAAATGTTGCTCTATAATACAAATGCCACACTTATAACAGCACTCAAAAAGGTCAAGTGCCCGCAAAGTTACTAAGATTTGTCCTTTTGAGGACTTTGAATGTCAGCACATAGTTAAACAAAAAACTATTAAACAGTTGAGGTAACTCAAGCCTGGACTGTAAAGAAGTAATTGTTGGAGCCTTTTTGCATAATTAAAATAAAATCTTGTTAAATGTGAAACATCATTTCAGTTCATTTTGAGCTGAACATTAGTGCTAATGTGTATAATTACATGAAATATGATATAGCCTAATATAACTCATAACAAAAATGTTTTTATGTCTTTGACAGAGTAAAATTTAGAGGGCTGCTTTTGAGAGATGTGAGCATATTTTCTGCTTCAGAATTGTTAATGTTGTTTTATAAAGTTAATAAGAGTATAAAAATCAATCAATCATTAAATGGTTTTCTAACAGCCAACCACCATAAAAGTCAGTCTCTTAACAATGCTTCAGCTTTTTTTTTTTTACTTTTAAACGTTTATTAGTTTTGGTTTATGTGACATTTTTACACAACGAAAGCTTCGGCTGCAACATTAAAGGCCTCAGCTGATGTTTATGACCCTGCACTAAAATTCATTAGAATAGATAATTACATTACTTATAATTCTGAGCCATATTCCAATTTATTATTATAATTTAAATTTTGGGGTATCCTAGCTGTCTTATGATAATGAGCTTTAGTCTTTTTAAAAGCCTGATTTAATGCAAGATTTTTTTTCTTTTACGCATCACTGAGAGCACGAACGCCAACAAGGCTGCAGGATTTCTGGTCTTCCATCTTCCAGTTAATCAAAGACAGCAGCCTGAAGGAGATCCCACCCCACCAGACACCAAGTGTGCCCTCAGGCAGTGGCAAAGACGAAAATGAAGCGGGCTGACTCACTGCTGGAGGTTTCGCAAGGATTTCGAGTTTGTGGCAGTTCATGGACAGGAAGTCTCCAGCACTCCAAGACCASGAGAAGAGCTACTGGGCCAGAATTTGCAAATAACTCCCCCAGCACTGCAATAAATTTCTTACATCAATATCTGTCATGGTAAGTCTAAACTGCAGGCTGATGCAGTGGCTTTAAACACATTTCTGGATGACACAATTGATGTGCCTCCTTAGTGACCACAGCAGACTGCTTCTTTCTAGTTTGTCTTGCCAATGATGCAAAGAACTCTGGCCAAGCTGTCACCCATTGTTTCAGGTAAGTGCAAAATTAAATTTGAGCCCATTGCCTCAAGAATTAATTTAGCAGCACAAAAACAAGGTTTCATTACAAGGCTTCGCATCAATGTGATGCAAAGGGAAGTTGAACTGTTACACTATATTATATCCTGAAATATGAGTCAGATGGGCTTTTTATTTTCAATTTCAAAAGTATATCTTCCAAAGACATAAATTAAAGTGACACTGTGTAGCCCTTATATACTAACAAATTGTGGTTTTATCAGATAGCATGTCTCCACTTTTTCCAGGACAAAGTGAATCCTGCACGTCCAAAGTTAAAAAAAATGTATTGGAGCCAAAACCAAAAAGCTTAACACTGACCTATATTTAAATCTGCTGGATGGAGACATATTCTTCCATAAGCAAATGCACTTTTTAGTTTGTTAAGTTTATTCATAGCCAGATTAGGTAGGCTTGGGTCAGTGCACCAAGGTCCCTGTCTTTGGCTACCGCCCAGGACATCATGCAGCCGGATTACATGGCCCCTCCTGCAGATGGTGGGCCCACAGGAAGGCAAACCCAAGTTGCTCATTTAGGATGAGCCCACCCAGAACTCATAGGTACAGACCAGAACCGGGTGCTCACCAGTGATCCCCTTGACCAGCTTTCAGGGTGACCCGCGTACAGCCAAGTGACACTGAGCTCCTTGATTTAGCAGATACACACGAGTGTTCTGAACCGCTCTTTTTCTGGTCTGTCACCTAGGACCAAACTGCCACAGGAGACCCTACCAGGGGCAAATTCTATTGCACCAGACAGCATAGATCCCAGGTTCATTCAGACGCACAAACTCCTCCACCACGATAAGGTGATAATTCAACGAAGGAGCATCCAGGAAGTTATCCGAGAGAGACTCAGCCGTTGCTCCTCCACATCAAAAGGAGCCAGTTGAGGTGGTTCAAGCACCTGGTAAGGATGCCTCCTAGACATCTCCCTAGAGAGGTGCTTCAGGCATATCCGATTGGGAGGATTTACCCTGAGAATGACCCAGGACATGCTGGAGAGACTAGTCATGTTTCCATCCAATTTTAATRCATATTTTGAGTGAACTTTTAAAACGTCGCAAAAAAACAAATGCGCATCAGACGTGTTTCCATTAAACCCGCAGGGACTGCAAGTCTCAAGACAATGGAGAGAAGTTACCAGGAATGTGTTGCTACTATCGGGAACGTTGTAATTCTGTCGTATCAACTAGTATTGGCGATGTTCCATGCTGTCTGGAGACGTAGAAAAAAATGCAATTCTCTTCACGTTATGCAAATATCCAGGAAGACACCGACAGTGGGAGAAGGGTCCAGCTGCAGCCGCTACAAATATTGGACAGCGAGAACAGCTGATCGAGGTATGTTTGCTATGTCAGAATTTATTCAGCAAATGTGTGCCATCTYCTCTTTCGCGCATCAACTCTTTTTCGTAAAATCCAAAAACCACCTCAACTGAGCGTAAATACTTTTTTTTTTGCAAAACTGAAGATGTTTTCGCAAATTTTGCCTTTTCCATCCACCTTTCCTAATGCRATACTTTTAAATGTGCATAAAAATATGTTGATGGAAACATGGCTTATGTCTCTTAACTGGCCTGGGAACACCTTGGAATCCTCGGGAGAGCTGGAAGAGGAGGATGGGGAAAGAGAGATCGGGGCCTGTCTGCTCACGCTGCTGCCCATGTGACCTGACTCTGGAACAAGCGACGGATGGATGGATGTTTATTCATTCATACCTTCTATATGTAAATAGCAACAGCACTTTACTATTTTTTTTTCTTTTTATCACCTAATCACAGTTAGAATCACAGATCATCAAACGGACACATTTCTTGCATGACAAGGTCTTCATAATGTCCGCTCAGACCATTAGGACATTTCAAGAGAAAAAAAATCCCTTCTTCCTCTGTTAATGTTGGCCTGATAATACAATGGAAATGAGACGTTTAAAAACTGCTGAGGTCTTGATTTGGTTCTTGTGTTAATCTTACCCTGGAGATCCCAGAATCAATGCATGCCAATTCCTATAGGTCAATCATTGAAAGCTTACATGTGCTGCTTTGGCTCCTTCTCATGTCCCAAGGACAAAATGTTCTAAACTGCACTTCAAGGATGTCACAAAAAATATTACATTCCAAGAATGCCTGAAACTTAAATTAAACTAATGTTTACCTTTATTTATGTAATAACCTCGATAAATCTCCACTTTAAACTATTTTAAAGTTTTAGCATGATTTACTATTGCTTAGCTTTGACACAAATCTTCTAACTATGCTGTAAATTCTACTATTACCATATACTGATTAACATTTTGCTGCTTTTAACTAATACAGTATTACTTTATGGATAAAATACAGTACATGGAAAGAATCAGTTTAAACCATGAAATTTCTAATCACACATTGGAAAAATAGAGTTTAAATATAGAAACAATATTTATTTCTCATTAAACGCTTTAAGATTGAAAATTTGATTAAGCCAGCCTCTCAGAAAAAAAGTGAAACAAGAAACTTAATGGCAAACCAATAGCAGCACTGTTCTGTCATTAGTCAAAGGCAACAACCATCTCCAACTAGTCACTTGCTTTAGTGGAGGAAAACAAAAACTTTTAAATGAGAACACACAAACTAGATGTAAATGTCATTCTTACATAACTGGGCTGAAAAAAACATGGATTTACTCAAACCTCACCAAGAATTAGCCTCCAGTATTTTATGTAAAAAGGAAGTACTGTGATATAATGCTCAAATAGGAYGGTGTTTCAACTGAATGGCACAACTAGCACAGTCAAAATAAAAAAAGATCCGTCAATGCAAGAAGATATTTCAAGTATGGTGCGAGCCATGAGTGTGTATTGCTGTCCATCCATCCATCCATTTTCTTCCGCCTATCCGGGGTCGGATCGCGGGGGCAGCAGCTTCAGAAGGGAGGCCCAGACCTCCCTCTCCCCAGCCACTTCTTCCAGCTCCTCCGGGAGAACTCCAAGGCGTTCCCAGGCCAGCCGAGAGACATAGTCCCTCCAGCGTGTCCTGGRTCTTCCTCGGGGCCTCCTCCCGGTRTATAGTGTGTATTGCTGTGATTTTTTTAAAAACACCATAGTGTGTCACATTGTTGATATAATATGATGTTTTGTTTTTCCTCCATCTTCCCTTGTGTGGTTTTTAGTTTTTCTATTGTTAAAGGTAGYGCAACTGTGTTTGCTGCATGACCGGTTTCACCTGTTCCCTCATGTTTGTCTTGTATGTCTTCCTGAATTTAGTTCCGTTCCGGAATTGCGCCGCTGAGGGTGGCAGCACGTTGGAGTAGCTCTGTTACTTTTATTGAGATTTTCTTTTCGTTTCAGGCGTTCATTCCTGCCTTTCTGCGGAAAAGTAACTTTTTTGGACGGCTGTTTGGGTTTGTGTTTGGGGTGCTGTGCAGCTGGATTGGTTTTTGCCAATACTTTTTTATACTTTGCTTTTTGTTTTGATGCATAACCATAGCAAMAGGGTGGTTTACAACAGGGAGCAGCTGATTAATATCGCAAAATCTGAAATAATACATCAACTGAAGCCGCAAATCCCAGAGGAGTTGAAAAGGAGGCATCGTGGCTGCAGAGCTGGAGCAAAGAGGCAAGAGAAGGAGGAAGTTCAAACCATCACTTCCATCAATCCTAATGGGCAACGTGAGATCATTAGCTAACAAACTGGATGAACTTCAAGCCCTGACAAGGAGTCAGCAAGAGTACAGAGAATGCAGTATAATGTGTTTCACTGAGAAATGGCTGCAAGATCATGTCCCTGATGCCATCATCTCTCTGCCAGGCTTTCAGACTATACGAGCAGACAGAGATTTTAAGAGCAGCRGGAAAAAGAAAGGAGGTGGATTAGCAGTGCTTGTCAACAACAGAWGGTGTCATCCAGGACATGTTAATGTGAAGTTTCGTCACTGCAGTCCAGACAGTGAACTCTTGGCAGTAAGTTTCCGTCCATATTATTTACCAAGAGAGTTCACCAGTGTTATTTTGGCAGCTGTTTACATTCCACCCTCAGCTGTTGCTGACGATGCATGTGATATCGTCAGTTTCGTTGTTGCTAAGATACAGACACAACACCCCAATGCATTTGTGGCAATATCTGGTGATTTTAATCATGCCTCACTCTCTGCTGCACTGCCAACATTTCACTAGTTTGTCAACTGCTCTACCAGAGAAAACAAGACATTGGATTTATTTTACACAAATGTTAAGGATTCTTATATAGCCAATGCAAGACCTCCTCTGGGTAATTCAGATCACAACCTTGTTTATCTCTGCTCAGAATATAAACCACTTGTTCAGAGACAACCTGTAACTACAAGGACTATGGGAAAGTGGTCACAGGAAGCTGAAGAAGCCCTACARGGATGTTTTGAATCTACAGATTGGAATGTTGTTTGCCAGCCACATGGAGATGACATAAATACCATGACTGAGTGTGTGACTGACTACATAAAAAAAGAGAGAGACACTCTCACTACCCTCAGCAAGGACAAGAACATCATCATTCTTCCAGCAGACAAAGGAAGGTGCACAGTTTCTCCTATTTCTGTAAACCTGTACATGGAGGAAGTGGAAAAGAGAACTTTGATGTCCTTTTCAAGGGTGCCACCAAGCCATTGGTTCAGATATGTTGACGACACCTGGGTTAAAATTAAAGCCCAGGAAGTCCAACATTTCACTGATCACATCAACTCTGTGGATGAATATATAAAGTTCACACGAGAGGATGTAAAAAATAATGGCAGGTTGGCGTTCTTGGCTTGCGATGTCTCGGTTTCGGATGGACGACAGTTGGAAACTAGCGTATATCATAAGCCCACCCACAC